AAGACACAACCAACTGCTTTTCCGGGAGGTCATTTTCCCTCCCTCTCCCCGTTTCTGAATTTTCTCAAGTTGGCAGTCTGCATGAGCTTCTTTTATAACTGGGGAGACAAACTTAAGACCCGAAACACTGCGGAGCAATTCCCGACTGCACAGACTCCTAACCCTGGTGCCCACGCTGCTCCCCCATGTCCTTGACAACTGACGGGACCTTGTGTAATCAACGGTCTGCCCGTAACTCCTGCAACTCTCACATCCCGATGCTGCCGGCTGATTAAGCCCTGCTCAACGCCTCCACGCGCAGCCTATCAAACCCTTACGTCTACTGATGAGTGGGTCCTATTATTATCCCTCTCTGAAGGTAAGGCAAGCAGAGCTCAGAGAGGTTAGGTCCCTGGCCAAGGTCACACAGCTCAGACACCAAGCTCAGAGTGCCCCCAAGGGATGCCTGATGCTGCAGCTGAGCCCTGTGCACCCAGCTCTGCCCCTGCAGGAAATGCCCCAGGAGCTGCCACCTCCCGTACCAGATTTTTAAAAACCAAAGCAAAGCAGAAAAAGATGTTTCGGGGCACTCACCTCTCTCTCCTCGCCTCAGCAATGCTCTCCGCCTGCCCTGTTACCCGGGCTTTCCTTGTTTTCTTTCTTTCTTTCTTTTTTCCTTTTAACTAATCACTCAGTTAACTAGTTAGCTTTCTGAAGCTTGGGTCGGTACCTAGTGACTCCACGAGCGCGATAAAGAAATCAGCCGTCACCGATACAGAAGTCAGAGAGGTTTAAATCAAATCATCCTCCACAACAATGACATTAATTATGCTTTTAACACGTTTTACTGCTTTTTTTCTCACTTCACGCCACATCTGTGTGAACAATATCCAAAAGATTTACGGGTTTCTTTCGTAATTACAGACATACAGGCTGCACACTTATCAAAATACTTGCTGAGCAATCACGCCATATCGCATTCTCTGCCAAAGATCTGTGTTGGCAGCAGTCATTCAAAACAAAAATGTTGAATCAGGACTTGTGTGGCTTCGGGAGGGGGGAGTATTTCGACAAATAATTTGCCTGTCAAGAAATATAAAGCGTTATTTTCACAGGGGGGGGGTGGGGCAGTGGGGGCGGGGAGCGGAGGAGCTCGGAGCACCAAAAACACATCTGACATTTGGTTCTTGTGTCTGAGGATAAAATTTAATGAGAACAAAAATATGTCTTCCTAATTCCCCTAAGAAATCATTAAAACATTTTGTTATTCTTAAATGTCTCGAAAATGAATTAGAGGCCCTAAAGGGGCTGTTCGTGTGGTACGGCGCCATCAGTTAAGGCTCCTCATTCTCCACCTTGGTGACAGCTGGGGACATCTCCCCACCCCCGCCCCTTCATTTCTGGGAAGGAGAGCTGGGAAACCAGACTCCTGGAGTCAGCACGAGGCTTGGGATGACCTTCCCACTCCCAGGCATCAGGGAGAGGGGCGAGAGGGCACGAGGACCTTCCGGAAAGCTCTGCACCAACTTTGGGGGCCCCCATGGCCCTGGACTGGCCTGTGACTGTGTTTAATAGCCTTGTCTCCAGAAAGATGAGGTTCCCATAATGAACCCCAGAAATGAAGCCCCCTTTCCAGCTAGGGACTACAGCCCCTCCTCCTGTCTCCCTTAGTCTGTCTGCCCCTCTGTACCCTCGAACATAAGACTTGATGGTTCTCCCCCAGCTCCGTGAGCAATGACGGGGTCACCTCTGCCATGGGAGTGCCCGCTTCCCCAGGGCTGGACTCGCATCAGTCAACGGGCGCGGAGTCCCACTGTCTGGCGAGAGGCAGGCACACAGCCGGTGCATGGTAAGTGCTCTCTGAATAGAAAACGCGTGATGAGCAGCAGGCCCTGGATGATAAAATACCTCTTTATTTTAACAACCCTTCCTCTCCTTTCTTCTGCCAAGCCTTGTCTCTTTTCTTTTCCTTTCAGGTTTTGGTCATAAGGCACATGTGATCACTGGAGAGAGACAGAGATAGCGAGGGGAAGTGAGACATCACCCCCAGGGGAGAGGGCCATACTGCCATCTCTTCTCCTCCATTCTCTTTCTGGGAGTTTGGACATGCATGCACACGTGCCTGACATGATTTTCAAGCTGCTTGATTTCAAGACAGAGATTTTTGCTATAGGGTGCGTGCGTTCGCTGGAAAGACAGAAAGCAAGAAATCACCCCACAGCGGGGATGGCCACACCATAATCCCTTCTCTTCCATTCTCCTCTCGGGATCCTGGGGATGCATGCAAAAGTGCCTGGTATGAGCTTTTAATATTGGGTCTGGGACTCGAACTGCAATCGACTATGTAGAAGTCCAGATACGTAACCATTACACCATCTGCTCGTTCTGTGTATCTTATTTCAAACTCATTCAACAAATGGTTATTTGGTGCCTACTGTGTACCTAGTTCTGGGTATACAGTCCTGGGCTCAGAACAGTTCACACCTCCTCGAAAGGCACTAAGTGTTACATACACAGTAACACTTAGCACGCACCTGCTGTGTGCCACACACTTTGAAGCCCCCTAGAGCCGCACGTGGTAGGCACTAATATTATCCCCAACCGAGAGGAGACTGGGTGATGCTCAGGAAGGTGGACTGTCTGCAGGCCCAGTGAGTAGGTGGTCCGGGAAGATACGAAGCACTAGCCAACCCCGGGGCTGCCCTCTGGCGCTATAGACAAGGAACTATGGAGACGAGAGCCCGACATAGGGGCTCCTGGGAGACATCTCTGGGGTCTGTACTGGGTCACCCTCTGATGTCATCTGTTGCTGAGACCATGGGCCAAAGGATCAAAAAAGGTGGGAAATAAGAGGATGTATTTTCTTTTTTTTAAAGAAGTATTTTATTTAACTTTAATTAATTAATTTTAATTTGACCAGAGAAGGACAGAGCGGGAGAGCGAAAGAGAGATGGAAAGTAAGAAAGCAAGTTGCCAGGTCTGGGACTTGAGCCACAGTCGGCCAGGTTGGAGTCCAGTGTCCTTAATCACCACATCACCTGCTGGCCCCAAGAGGATGTAGTTTTGACCGCTAGTTTGAGTCTCAGATGAGGTGTCTTGAAAAACACACCAGGTACTTGTGCATGGATGCCTAAAATTCCAAGAGGAGAATGGAGGAGAAGGGATTGCAGCATGGCCTTCCGCAAGGGGAAAGGTTTCTTTTATCTGTCTCTTTCTGGTGGGCATACATACCCTCTGGCAAATTAAAAAGTAACAATAAAATTTAAGAAAATAAAAGGAGGGAAACTTTTATAGGTATAAGACATACTTCCATGAGTATAGCCTAATGTTCTCAAACTGACCCACCCTCACCACCAGGAGGCCTTTCCCAGGAACTCTGGCCCACCCTAGATCGCCTTTTTTTGGGGGGGCCATAGGGTACGTGTGCTCCACGGAGAGAGAGATAGTGAGAAGGAAAGTGAGAAATCACCCCCTAGGGAGGAGAGCCATGCCACAATCCCTTCTCTTCCATTCTCCTCCTGGGATTTAGGGCACACATGCACCATGTTCAGTCATAGAGAATCCAGCTCTTTACCACCACGGCACCTGCTGCTCCCCCCGCCCCCAGCTTCACTTCTAAGAACACAAGTTAATTTTCTTTTCTTTCTTTTTTTTTTGGAGAGGTTTTCGCTATAGGGCATGTGCGCTCGCCAGACAGACAGAGAGAGACATTAAGACAGAAAGCGAGAAATCACTCCCCAGGGGGGGATGGTCACGCCGCAATCCCTTCTCCTCCATTCTCCTCTCGGGATCTTGGGCACGCACGCACACGCGCCCGGCGTGAGTTTTAAGCCACCGGGTCTGGGATGCGAACCACGGTCAACTACATGGGAGTCCAGCGACGTAGCCATTACACTAACTGCTGGTTCCCAAGTTAATTTTCTTTTCAATCGAGGTGGAATTCATACAACATAAAACTTACCATTTTAAAGTGAACTGTTTTTTTTTTAAAGAATTGTTTTATTTACTTATTTACTTACTTACTTACTTATTTATTTAATTTTATTAGTTTTAAATTTGAACAGAGAGGGACAGAGTATGGGGGGAGTGAGAAAGCAAGCCTTCAGGTTCGGGACTCGAACTGTGGCTGGCCATGTAGGAATCTAGCACCCTTAACCACTACGCCACCTGCCGGCCCCTAATGTGAACTACTGAGCGGTGTCTAGTACATCCACAAAGTCCTGTAACCACCAGCTCTTTCTAGTCCCAGGACATTTTTATCCCTGGAGAAGGAAACCTCATACCCATGACACGGTCACTCTCGAATCTCCTCCCACCAGCCCTTGGCAGCCATCAGTCTACTTCCTGTGTCTGTGGGCTCTTGTGTCTAAGGCTTTCGTGTCTGGCCCCTCTCACTGAGTGCCGTGTTCTCAAAGCTCCTCCACACGGGATCGTGCATTACAATGCCGTCCTTTACATGGCCGAGTAATACTCCATCGTAAGGAAGGTCCACGTTTTGTCTATCTGTCCTCAGTTAAGGGACACATGAATGTCTCCATCTTGGCTGTTGTGAACAGTGTTCACAGACTAATCTTTGCCTTTTTATATTTTCTGTAAATGGACTCACGGTTTGTGCTCTTATAGGTCTGGCTTTTTTCTTTTTAAAGGTTGCCTGGGGTATTTGGGGGCACACTCGTGGTCTGCCCTCCATTGACACCTGCAGGCAGAGAGCCTTGGGTTTTTCCGTCCTCTGCAGCAATGGGATGGGGGTTCTGCTGGGCAAGATCCTGGCTGCCCCAAGATCCAGGTGGGCTACCTTGCCAGGAACCCCACCCCCAGTGGGCTCTTGGCTGAGGCTGGAAGGTAGTGTGGGAAGACATGGCAAGTAGGGAGGCCCCATCGCACCAGACTAGGGCTAGTCCCCCCACCTCACCCGAGTCCAGGCCTGTCCCCAGAGCCCACTGCAAGGAAATCCCAATTAACAGTGGCAATGGCCGTGTCCGTGGTTAATCATTCCACCATGGAGCCCAAGCGTCTCTTACCTGGTGCTTCGATTAACTGCTTGTAAACACTCAGGAAAGCAGCTTCCGCCTCCTGGCTTCTCTTACTAAGGGCCACCACCTTTGGAAACAAGAGAAAGAGTCAAGTGTAACCATGGCAACTGGGTCTCCAAATGTGATCGCTTTCTACCTGTGAGACAGTGATGGGGCAGGACGGTAAGGGTGTGAAGGCTGAAAGTGCAGGCTGAGGTTAGAAAGCCAGGCCTTTGAGCCCAGCCCCTCTGTGTCCAGCTTTATGACTGCAGGCAAGTCACTGGCCTTCTTGGATCCTGAGTTTCCTCATCTGCAAAGTGAGGGGTTAATATGAGAACCCGCCCTCTGAGGCCTGCTGGGGGGATCTGAAGCAGCAGCACGGAAGTGCTGAGCACAGGGCCTAGCACACAGTAGGTCGTCCTTAGCTAGTCTTCTTGCTGTTAGAGGACAAAGCTAGAAGTTCAAATATGACACATTTTTGGGGAAAGTGGGACACATCCGGGGATATTCTTGCCACTGAAAATGAAAGAGAAATCATTAAAGCTCTTGTAAGACATCACATGGCTTCAACAAGTGTCAGGGTGCGGGTGACGAGATTTATGCGAAACAGTCCCCGGCATACTGAAGGTGCTCAGGAAGTGTTAGAGCGAGTGAATAAATGAATGGCAGGAGAACTCCGTGGTAAAGAGCTAGATCCATGCTCAGGGCTCGCTCTCGTTCCGCCAGTGACAGCTCACGAGATGCCCACGCCATCCTGCAGCATGTGGCTGTGCGTCTTGAAGGGCTCAGAAGCCGCCCAGTCTCTGAGGTCAGCACCACTTCACCCCTCCACTCCAGGCTGTGGATTCCAGAGCCCCGGTTCATAGCTGCCCAGGCCACTGCTCTTGGTGGCCTGTCCCATCGGAACACTCCTGGGCCTCCCCTTGCGTAGGTCTGGAACTGGCTCCTGGCACCCACTGGCGGCCACTGTCCATATATCTGCAAGGACGCTCCGGGTGCACCCTGGACTGGAATGAGCCTTTACTCTTCCTCGCACTGACAGACCTTTCCCTTGAATCTGTCTGGAGCATGTGCTTGACAGTCACCCACAGCAGGTGCTCAAAAAAGTCTGGGAATGTGTAAATCCAAGGGCTGCACTGCCTCAAGGTCCCAACTGTGACACCATTGCAGAGTCTCACCTTTGCTCCTGACCAGCAGGGCCAATTGTTTTTCTCTTTTTTTTGGAGAGATTTTCACTATAGGGCGTGTGCGCTCGTCAGACAGACAGAGAGAGACATTACAGACAGAAAGCAAGAAATCACCCCCCCAGGGGGGATGGTCACGCCGCAATCCCTTCTCCTCCATTCTCCTCTCGGGATCTTGGGCACGTGCACACATGCGCCCGGCATGAGTTTTAAGCCACCGGGTCCAGGATGTGAACCGTGGTCGACTACGTGGGAGTCCAGCGACATAGCCATTAAGCTAACTGCTGGTTCCCCCAGCAGGGCCAATTCTGAGGACGGCTCACCGAGGCACAGGCCCTGGGACCCAGCAGCCTGGATTCAAATCCCAGCTCCTCCACCTACTAGCTGTGACCTTGGGCAAGCAAGTAAGTTAAGTCTCTGTGCCTCTATTTCCCCATTTATAGCATGCGGATAAGGACATAACAACTTCTGGGGTCGGCAAGTGGCATGATGAATAAGGTGGCTGTATCCCTCATGGTCAACTCTGTGGTTCAGGTCCCAGACCCAGCAGCTTGAAAAGCATGCCAGGCATATGTGCGTGCATGCCCGAAACGCCAAGAGGAGAATGGAAGAGGATGGATTGTGGCATGACCCTCTCCCACCCTCCCCGCCCCAGGGAGGGTGATTTCTCACTTTCCCTCTTTTCTTTCTCTCCCACAAGTGCCCTATAGACAAAACTAAAAAAACAAAAACAAAAACCAACAACCTCCTTTGAAGGGGAACTGGGAGGATCAAGTGGTTCAAAATAGGTAAAGCCCTTTGGAAAAGTCCTGGCCTGTGGTAGGCCCCCTAGATACGTAACTTACAGGATGACTGATCAACGTCCTCCTTGTCTGGCTCCATGACAGGTCCTATCAGTACAGGGGGATGACCTTGGCTGTGCTTGTCTCGGGGTCTTACAAAGACCACCAGAGAAAGGCCCCTCTCCCCACTCACAGTGGTGCCGTCTGGGAACAATCTGAAAACCAAAGGGGTTCAATACGGCCCCCATGAGCCACGTGTGCCCACTGCAGACTTGAAATGTGACAGTCCAAATCAGTGCTTGCTATGAGTATATAACATGCACCGGATGTCAAGGGCTTAGGGCCCCCACACGGAAGTACAACAGCTCATCAACATTGTTTTATATGGATCACATATCAAAATGATAACATGCAATTACTTTCACTTGTTAAAAATCTGGCTACCAGAAAATGTTACATTACATACACGGATCAAACCATATTTCTACTGTGTAGCACGGTTAGAAGGTTTTACAAGGCCCGTATAGAATTTGTTATTTAAGAGAAGTGGATGTTGACCATGTGAGTAAAAAAAAAAAAAATGTCAGTTATAATTGACATCCTTAATTCCTTTCACCATTAATCGGAGAATAGGCTCTGGTCTCTCACCTTCCAGAGTGGATGACAGTGTCTCACTCACTCAGCAAACATCTTCTGAACACCCACTATGTGCCAAGCACTGTGGGCTGATACCTAACCTCACGGGACTCCTTGGCTGGTGAGGAGACCGACTTCCCAGATACTCATCAATTACAAGCGCCAGACACTGGGGAGAAAGGCCCACTCTGGTGGCGGAACAACAGGAACATCTACCTGAGAAGGGGAAGGTGGTGAGGGACGGGAACGGCATAAAGAATGTTCTGGGATGTAGGCAAAGGAAAAATCAAGCGCAGGCAGATTTTTATTCTTGCTGAGAAGGACAAAACTAAGTTCCTGCCTGGGGTCTCGCAGCTGAGGGGAGGCATGGCTACGCCCGAGAGGAACCGTGAGACGAGAGGAGGTGCAGACACTGTAAGAGTCTGGGGGGTGCACCGACAGGCTAACAGTCACAATGACGAGGACAATAAATACAACACCTAAGATCGACCAGGTGCCAGGTGACCTTACCAGTCCTGATCGGCTCTCCTCGTACAGCCGAGCAACCTGAGGTTCGTGAGGTTAAGTAACTTGCCAAAGGTCATTCTGACGGTATAGGGCAGGGCCAGGATTCCCACCAGGCCTGGGAGGTCAGCTTGCTGTTCTGAGTCTGGATGTTGGGCCCCTTTAATCCAGGATAGAACCATCCTCCATCCTCACCCCCTCTCAACCCCCCAGCTTGTGGGGCCGATCACCCGGGCCTCGCCTGCACACTGCCACACAAACACTGCTACACAAGCTCAGGGCTGCTGTGCTGTCGACCTGGGGGCCAAAGAAACCACAAGAAACAAAAGCAGCTCATCTCCGGACCCCTCGATGGGGAATCATCAGAGATCGGCAGCTGTCTGAAGGATCCACTTCAGAGCTGGCCAGGCTGAGGACGGATAGCGTGGCTTCTGGGGCTGGGAAAAGGCTACGACTGTTCCAGTGACATCTAAACAGGAATTCTGCACAGCGTGGGGGCATGTCCTGGAAGATTCCTTCACACAGCACCTCCTACTTCCATTCACCCGTCCATTGGTCTGTAAGGGTGATCATTTATCTTGGTGATGGTCCCCTTATCACGTCAGTCTTCTCCACTGGAGCTACGGTGTCCAATAAGTGCTCCAAGCACTTGAACTACAACAATTTCAAACTGAGATGGGCTGCTAAGTATAAGATACAGGGTTTTAGGCTGGCCCCATGGCATAGTGGTTAAGGGAGCTGGCTCCCACATGGCTAACCATGGTTTGAACCCTGGCCCCAGCAGCTTAAAAACACGCCAGGCACGTGTGTGTGCATGCCCCAAATCCCAACAGGAAGGAGATATGGAGGAGAAGGGATGCTTTCTCCTTCTCCATCTCTCTACCACTGTCTCTCTCTGATAAGCACACACACCTCTGCCAATTAAAAAAAAAAAAGAAAAAGATATAGGATTTTGAAGTCTTGGAACAAAAATAAGATTGTAAAATATCCCAGTAACTTTTTATGTTGATTATGGACTGAAATGATAATGTTATGGGCATATTAGATGAAATTAAAGATTTTTAAAAAGAATTATTTTATTTAACTTCATTTATTTGTTTACTTTATTTAATTATTTTAATTTGACCAGAGAGTAACAGAGTGAAAGAGAGAATGAGAGAGACAAAGTGAGAAAGCAAGCCGCTACACTAGGTCTGGGACTCGAACCGTGGTGGGCCACGTGGGAGTCCAGAGCCCTTAACCACTACGTCACCTGCTGGCCCCAATAAAAGATATTAAAGTTAAGTTCATGCTTATTCTTTTTTTTTTTGAGAAGTATTTTTATGTTTTTGTTATAGGGCGTGTGCACTTGCCAGAAAGACAGAGAGAGACAGAGAGACAGAAAGCAAGAAATCGCCTTCCCAGGGGGGATGGCTACACCGCAATCCCTTCTCCTCCATTCTCTTCTTGGGATCTTGAGCATGCACGCACACGTGCCCAGCGTGAGTTTAAGCTGCCAGGTCTGGGACTTGAACCATGGTCGGCTATGTGGGAGTCCAGCAACATAGCCATCATGCTAACTGCTGGTTCCATTCACGCTTATTCTTAATTTTTAAACTGTAGCTACTAGAAAACTGTGCTTTACATATGTGGCTTGCATTCTATTTCTCCTGGACATGCAGATCTGATCAATCGAGCGTTGGCAAACTATGGCCCCTGGACCAAATTTGGCCCTTCATCTGTTTTTGTAAATAAAGTTTTATTGAAATGCAGCCATGGTCATTTTTTAAAGTATTGTCTATGGTAGATTTCATGCTGCAAGGGCAGAGTTATGTAGTTATGACAGGGACCTTGGGGTCCCCAAAGCTAAAAAGGTGCACTATCTGGCCCCTTAGGGAAGAAGCTTGCTGATGCTTGCGTTAGAGGTTCGTGTAACAGTAGGACAATGTTTTCAAAAGCAGAGATCAAAAGACATCCCGGAACAGTACTCTGTTTGAATCAAT